TCCTCTGTACATTCTCACCCATAAGCGAATCCTGAAGTTTATGTGGCTGTTTGTAAGTTTCAATAAAACGCTTTGCTGTATCGGATTGAATTGCGTTCTCATCTTACCCAAAGTTTTATTCTTTTCTGGAATTTTACATAATACCTGCAAGGTATCATCCACTTTCGCTAGTCATTGTTTGTTTTCAAACGCTCACTCTTTAAGGGTCAGTCCTTGTCGATTCCGGACTATCATGAGAAGTCGTGTAAGGAACTGAACGTTGGCACATGGACCGGCATTCGGGTGGTAAGTAATTTCGAGGGTTCTTAATAGAACAACTTATTTGTTCAGATGAGCGACTTAACAAATTGCCTTTTAACGAAGTCGATCTGAACAAAAAACAAAATCGAACTAAGGGTCAAAACAACAAACAAAATAATTCTTCGTGAAATTTCAATGCCATTTTGAGAAATTGGGGTCTTTAATGTGGAAAGCAACAGCGAGATAATGTGCGATTGTGTGATTACTTCATTGAGCAAATGAACCCCAAAATTGAAAGATTTCGATCAAATGGCCTTCAGAAATGTTTAGTAAAGCGCAAATTTTAGGTTTTTCCTGACACACCTTTAGTGGATTGCCTGGATATTCTCCTACATAAAGGCGTGAGTGGATTACCGGTGGTCGAACGTAACAGCTACAAAGTGATCGATATGTACTCACGTTTCGATGCAATCGGAGTGGCACTAGAGGACAAAATCAACCAACTGGACGTTACCGTGGAACAGGCGCTTGTATTTAGAAATAGTTTTAGGGTGAGCGTTTCTTTTTCTTATGAGATTTTCTTTCATACAGCTTCCAGTTTCCTGTCTTCCTCAACGCCTTAGTGAGCCATATTTGTGTAAGGGAGAAATCTTAATCAATTTCTGAAAACCTTTTCATTTTATTTTAATGACCAATATGTTAGACTTTACTGTTAAGCAACAGTTGCAAGCATTGTTCTCAGTGCAGAAGTCCAGCGTCCATCCTTTTGATATCTTGAAATTTGTAGAAATTGTGTTGGAATTCGGACTTTCTTTGTTAGTTCAGTTAACATTATTTGATGCAAACTGATTAATTTCAAAATGTTTTTTTCATCATTTGATCAAATATAACACTTCCAACTGTTCAGTGAAACAATTCC